GTTATACTATTTTATATCGTTAGTTATAATTGTGTCAATCATGTTTGGATGCTCAATATGAGCAAGTATTATTATTAATTTTTAGTATTAATCTTCATTATTCTTTTTAGACAGTGACAATAAAATGTCAACAATGTCAATCTGAAACATCACGAAATGAGGTTAGAGATCCCTTCATAAGTAAAGAAGAAATATATTTGATTTTGGTAGATACTGCTTGATCGATGTTTTAACAATGATATGAAATCAATACCTATTAATTGTTCGTTGTGCGAATGGACTGGTATCTTAAATAATTGTCAAGTAATTTATTTTATATTAACTTATTTCTTTGTCTTCTATTCTTTCCTTTCAAAGACACATCTTGATGAATTTCATTCAAATATAAAATGCTAATATTGCAATGAAGAATTCGACTCGGTTAACAAATACAATGAACATAAAGTCTCTGAATGCCAGAAATTGATGGTCGATTGTGTATTGAAAGACTTTGGCTGTAACGAACAAGTATGGTATTCTCTTGATAAAAATGAAGCCTGAAAATGTTTATTCTTTAGATTATCCGTGCCAAAATAAGAGAGCATTATTTAATTGAACAGCATCAACACGTCATAATGAAAATGGTCCATCAAATGTTATCACAATGGAATGATAGACCAATGAATAATGATTTTTCTCAAGTAACAACTGTAAGAATTTGTAATACAGACAGAACTCAACTACAAGACCTGTATGAAATGCTCAACAGCTTGTCAAGTGGTATTGACACATTGAGCAATGACCAAGAACGTCTAAGTAATGAATCACTTCAAATTCAAGTAACAATTTCAGTATTGACAGAAGAATTATTCAAAGCTAAATTATCCATTGAAGAAACAAATGCTCTTTTGGAAGGAGTGAAACTTAATCAGGACATTCTCAATCAAAATTTAGCATCAATACATGAAAAAGTCAATGAATTGCAATATCTTTCATATGATGGGACATTCGTATGGAAAATTACAAACTTTAAAGAGAAAATGAATAAGTTGAACAATTACTCTTACGCTCAAACATGAACGTAATAAAACAATAATTTTGTTATTTGGTATCTATAACATCGATAAATAATATGTATGAGACATATGCAAGCTATTTGTACCGTTTGGCTTCAACTTTTGTGAAAATTTCATTTATCGGTGGAATGATTTCATGTATTGGACTAGATACTGTTACTAGCGAGATGACGGATATTCGTAGTAGTTTGACTATAAATACTAAGAATAGTCGAAATTCAAAAAAACTAGGCTTTTAAACTTATTTTTGAAAATCATGAAATCCTCATAAATGTCCTAAAGGAAATGCGGAAAGTTTCTTTTAGGGAAACGGATTGAGAATGGAGCTAAGTGAAATCATAAACTATTCAACCCTAATATGTATTTACGTTTAGAGTAGCGTTTGTAGCAAAGTTTTGAATTTTAACAATTTAATCTTTTTGAAAAGCTGAAGTCTTCTGGTCGAATCGTGTACTGTAATTCTTTGATATGAATTGCATATCTAGAAACCATATTTCACTGCATTAAACAATATTCGATCCATTAGAAATCATAAGTTATTTAAATAAGGTTCTAAATAGTTGCTCAATAAGTATACAACATGTTAATATTTTATAAATTCTATTTTTTTCAAAAATATCTTCTGTTCGCGCAGAAAGAATGGAAGAAAGCCTATTTTCAGCTACATAAACTTGCCTTAATAGCTCGTAAATGACTTTACACGTCTACTTAGATGAGTCTTTTAACGAACCTTCGATTCATATAAGATACATTAGGCTTCTTTCTGTTTTGGGCAAAAAAATTCGTGACAAGAGAGAAACATGATGGGACATTTTATCACTCTTTTGAAATTTTCTTCCAAACGACAAAGAGTTAAGAATTGAAATGTACAGTATTCATTCTATATTTTGCAGTCTATTTGTGCTAAAAATTATTTTAATCAAGACATAGTAGGATCTTAGATGCATCTAAAGAATATTATAGGTTTCTTAAAAAACTCAGTTTGTTTTGTTTTATCGATCTCCCTTTTGGCTATAATTCAGTAAGGCTTCATTCATGTTATCATTCGGTAAAAAATTATTTTACAGGATGCCGAACATTTTTTACAAATCTGTGACCACGAGTACATCCAGCCAGTGCAAAATAAGAACGATTTCCTTCAATAAATTTAGTAGATTTTGTATCGCATCATCTTAGGGCGTTCCTAAAGGGAAATAAACAAATTTTAGAAAAACGTCCTTAACAGAAAACAATCAGCTTAATTTATTGCTATTGAGTGTGTCCTTGAGAAATTCAAATGGAAAAATGGCATTATTTTTTTATATCCTTCGTCTATAAATAATAGCTACAGGGATGGTTTTAGCAGCTAAGCTAGCCACAGTTGTGAAAGATATTTTCTGAAAAAATTCTTGAGTTGGGTTGAGAATTCTACTTGATATAAGCTTAGTTATGTTTTTTATTCGAACGATACAACTGATTTGTACTGGTCTCAAATATGATGGAATATCATATTCAACATAATATATAATTAGTTTTGAATACAATATATGACTAGAATCTATTGATACATTAACGAAATGAAGTATAAATGAAGTCGATCCTTTAAATTTCTTTACACTTGTCTCTACTCTTCTTCATGTATTTTTCTGGTTAATTTCTAGTTGATGCACAATCTGAAAGATAAACATCAATTTACTCACCTCCATTTTATTCATCTTCGACTAGCTATACAATGAGAGTTTGTCTTTATTTAAATGGTGATGGGAACGCTCGTCATACACATATGTCCCTATTCTTTATGCTTATGCTAAGTGACAACGATGTAATTCTGAAATTTCCATCCAACTATAAAGTCACATTTTGTTTGTAGGATCAAACGCCGACACAGCGATATATTATAGATTCATTTCGACCAGACATTAGATCGAGTAGTTTTCAACGACCTCGATCGGATCTGAATATAGCCAGCGGTATACCAAAATTTTTTCCATTGAAAAATATTCAACAGGAAGGAAATTCCTATGTATAAGATGACACAATGTTCATTAAAATTATGGTTGATTTTGGAGACATACACAAAACACTGTTGCCTTACGCTTTGAGTCTCAATCCGAGTCTACCAACTCATGTTCAACAAGAGATGATCAAGCGAGAAGCAGAAAGAAGATCTCAACAGCAGTATGGCGAGCAGCTGCAGAAACCTTCGGAATAATCCACCGTTCAATTTACATATAATATTGACTCAATAATCAATAATAACGAGTGGATCAGAATAAATGTGTATTTTGTACTTTTTCAATAACTTTGTCAGTTTTGTTCTAATCTAACGTAACTTGGTTTCTTAAAATCACCATTTGATTCTCTAAAAAAAAATCAAATATAAACGATTTTCCAGAGCGAAGTATGACAAATAAATAGATCAGAAACGCAACATGTCTAAAATTATCCAATTTCAAAGACATATTATTGAAGTTTTCTATGGTGTTTTGACGGCTGAAACGGTGTCCTCTTTTACAATTTACCCATGTTCCAGCATTTTGAGGTCTCTGCTTTCCGGCATAGTGCAACAAATACTCTTTGATTAACAATCGCCAGTATAAATCAAATTTTTCACAAAACATTATTAAATGACACTGATCATGTTCTTCTGTGACATAAGACTACATACAATATACTAGTACATTAGAGGCATATCCACGCGCTAGCAAAAGGCTATTGGCTTTGAAATAAAAACAAGAAATTTTTGAAAAACCGGTCATTTATTCGTGGAACTACGAGCATTTTCGTCAAGCGAACAAAAACTTAAAGAAAAATCAATCGTTTTTGAAAGACCAAAAAAGTAAAATACTATCTTATGTTCTAAAGCTTTATTTAAAAAAAATTTTAACTCATGGCTTTGATAGATAGGTCTATGTTCTTCAAAATAGATGATTCAAGGGTGTGAATGTGGGTATGGATATGATCAAAAGATACGGCGACACATACAGATCCATACTCACACCCTAGGCGGCAAGAAGTTAGTATCATGTAGGTATAGTTTTTTTCAAACTCAAGCGATCATTATTATATATATCATAATAGATCAGAATTTTGCCAAAAGAGAAATTTTTCATTTTTATAAAAATATTCAAATCTTTACAATGGCTCCAAGTTTGTAAGGCTACACAACAAACCTGATACGTAAATTTTCATGAATTTCTCTCCGCAAATATTGAATATAATAAAAAAAAGTCAGTCATTGACAACAGTAAAAATTTACAGTTGAGTGCAAAGGCATGAACCTCTCGTAATGATATCTCATATGTGTATGTAGACCCTTGATGTCAAGATAAGAATATAAAATAAGGCACATATTTACTGGTTAAATAAAAAAAATTGAGCAAAATAATATCTATTCTTTTTTTCTCTTTATAATGCACGCACTATCAAGTTCATCAATATTATTGCTAAACGTTTATGAGCTGGATGAGAATGTTAACTGATTTGAGACTTGAACATTATATTCCATTTATTCTACAGCATAAGTAATAATAAAGAATCAGAATAAAACTATATGATTGAAATAGATCAACCTGTTACTATTGGAGTTCGTCGTTAATAAATAGGAAAAATATTTTGATTTTCAATTCAGATCATTCGATTTAATGAACTAAAGATGATTGTAATTGCTGTGAATCCACGTACAATTTATGTAAGAATGATTGAGGGTATGTAATAATTCTCCAATTCGATATAATTTTCATTCTTTGAATTCCAGATGGATGGCTCCAATCAAGATTTGATACTACATATCCATTAGAATTAAGGGGAATCATTAGTGAAAGTGAATATCACGAATCGATTAATAAAATTAATGGTTCTATGCAGGTCAGCAAAGCTCTAACAATTTTTTGGACCATTTTAATGTGCACCGTTATTGGACTAACAATTGCCATCTGTGCTTTGTTGCGAATAAAATCAAAACGAATGGAACGATTGAAAGAAGCTATTGCTGAAGAATCGATAAAATATTCTTCAAGATCACCAATATCATGTCGTTGGAGACTAGATTTTACTCAACATTTCACTTCAGGACGTACCCCTCGGACAGTCTTTCGTGTAAGTATTTTTGTAACTTTAATAGAAATAACAAGATATGACTACAGCTAACACTGTTCTGAAAAAATATGATCGAAGTATATGAATAATTACAGCTATTGCCAATACATATTATCCTTTGTATACTTTTTTTTATATCAAGAACTTCAATCTACTCTATGAGGAATATAGAAAAAATCTTGCTTGTATTTCGGAAGTTTAAATCAAGTTCTATGGTAATTCTAGAGATTCATGAGAAGAGAATTTTGTTTCAGTGAGATATTCAATTCAATGCATAAAAATAGAAAATTGATAAAAAAAAAATTTATTCCTACGAAAAAAGCCGCGATATAGCTATCGTAAATACATCATGTTTTGAGTACTTATTGGTAGAGAGAATACTGCGTCATACTTTTTGAAAGATTAATTTTCCGGAATGTTCTGAATATTAAAATATTTTCACTTAAATGTTATATAATTATACACTATGCCGAATGACACAAATCATTCTTATTTCATCTCTGTAAGGTACATTTCGTCTACCTATCATGAGCTGCTAAGTATTTAACAATAAAAAAAAAAGAAAAGAATCGAAAAATCATTCGATAAAAGAGGGAAGCTGTACTTTTGTGTTTGAATTGATTCAGATTACTGCGCAGCATAGTTCTATGATAGACTTCAATTTTCTCAAACTTTCGTTGCTGGCAACATTTATCTAATTCTATTATTTCGGCGACAGAATGTGACTGCTAGTATAGAAATGTTTGTAGAAGAATGGATCCTCTTTTCAACAGTACCTACACCAACACTCTTACTGCATAGTTCAGTTAGCTATAATTGTCATAGAGAATTGATTATTGTGAGTGAGAAAATACCCATATGAGTTGTTATTTTAGTGTTTATTTTAGCTTGCGATAGATATTATTTGTGATGGTGCTCCTGAAAATGAAAGTGTAATGAATTCTTCGAATGAAGGTATTTCGGCGTCAGCAGCACTTTCCACAAAACAAAACAATAGTGCACCTCCACCATATTCTGCTCAATCTGCAGGATTTTGTTCTAAATGTAGCACGATACGACAAGATGTTACAGCTAACTTTTGTTCATCTTGTGGACATTCGTTTGATAAATATTGAACATTTACCTAGTTTTTGATTTAAATCAGTTTTTTGTCATCAAACTGAACTAATTGTGACGTTACAATAAAAAAAATAAAAGTTGCGTAGCTATGCATGTATTGAAAGAAACAAATGTTGTGAAATTTATACTGCAAGATGTAGGATTTTATTATATAATCTTAATGAATCTTATAAAAATAATTCTTACTCATCACTAACTTCTATCAATCATATGTTAGCATTATTTGCACTTTTTTCATTATATTGAACAAAGTAATTGCTTGCTTCAGTTTTGTTCGTATCATTGGACATGTTTTCACAAAAATAAATCTTATTCATCAAACCTTATCGAGATCATAATAATATGAATACTATGGCACTGAAAGATGTGGATGTGGGTGTCTATTAATTACTTACGCCTACCCACACCTTGAAAAGTCCTTATTTCTATTACACAGAATGGACAAAATATTTATGTTGGTTATTTTCATTGCGAGG